TGCACCAGCAGCTGGCCAGGCAGCACAGCGCAGCGCATGCGCCATGTGCCCCGGGGACGGGCCTGCACACCCTGGCCCAAGGCGCCAAAATGGCTTGGGCCGGCCCTGGGGGGTGAGACCATCAGTTATCACATGACAATTACTGGGTTTGTGCAATCTTTATGAGGCTGCAGCCATTTTTTTTTTGAAAGCTAGGGAATATTCAAATATCACATTTGTTTATTTATCAGCATTTGTCAGGCAATCACCACCACAATACTCAAATCATGCTGATCTGCACAGAAGACTAAACTGTGCCTTAAGGTTGCACCGCACGTAATGGAATTGGATGCATTTTGCAGTGAAAACTGGTGAGTGCCTATACAAAATCTGGATAGGGATTATACATACCTCTCTGTGATGCCAGCTAAAGATGCATCCATCTACTACACATTCTTAGAAAGGAAAAAGGTCTATTTTAAAGCAGTAAAACACACACATTTTTATGTTCTTAACCTAATGTTTCACATCTTGCCACCATGTACCATTACCGAATCTCAGAAGCAATTCATAGGAGGGGCACATTTTTGTCATACAAGTCATCTGTTCAGCTAACTCTTCCTTATTTGACAACATGATGCAATTTCCTCCTATAATATACTTGTAGAAGGAGATTTCTCTTATTTTGGAATGATTGCTAACCCTTTGAGCTCTTAACCTTTAACCATTCAGATCCCAATTAAATATTATCTATAGGCTTTCTAAAGCCTAATTTATTTCCTTAAATTCATGACATACCATAATTAGGCTTTGAAAGTCAAGTTTCTTTCATGGTCATTATATAAAATTTTGTTTGGTAATAAAGTTGGTCCCTTCCAGTCCTATTATTCTATGATTCTATGAAAGGCAAAAGCACCTAACAAATGCTAAGAAACTCATGTTTGGCAAACAATCTTAAGAACATGGCTTGTCTAAAACCATTTGTTTTAGACATTAATTTTATCTTATTTGTAGAGCATGGTAAGTGTGCTCAGTGGTTTTCAGATTAGCAACACAGTCCCTAATATCACAGTTGCAATTTAAATCACATGGTACTTTAAAGGATTGAATTTTCAGACCTTGGTCACATATTTAGATTTTTTAACTGTGGGCATCAATCTTTAGGAACATTAAACAACAACAAAAAACAGACTTATCAAAATATGTTGGATAACCCTTGGATACACTGATCTCCCAAGTAGGGATGTGAATGGTTAACCCGTAAGCCTCACCCTTAATGGTTCCAGTTAACCAGTAGGGACTGGAGCAGCCTAGAGCAGCTTCAGCCTGCCGCAAGCAGGGACTGCTCTGGCCAGCTTGACCAGCTCATGCCTTCTGAGAGGAGGGGGTAGGGAGCTCCAGCCCATCCTGTCTACAGCAGCCACCTCACCCAGCCCCTCTTTAATTGGCTAACCGGTTAAACATAATATTTAACCAGTTAACCAATTAAACAGGATTTTACATCCCTACCCACAAGCACTTTCTGACCCAGATTAGGCTCAGTCTCAAAAAGCTTCATGGAGGAATCACGGTTTTAGAGAAGGGATTGAGTGAGGTTGCACACAAATAGTCCGTTCAAAGCAAAAAAGGGCAGCAAGTAGAGTGATGACGACGACAAAGGAATAAATAGCTTGAAAAGAGATGAACAGTAGGTAGAAATAAAAGCAGAGAGAAGGAAGTGGAGTTGTACAGAAACTTAAATTTGTGGCTGAAAAAATGCCAAGTTATGTGGCAAAGCTGCTGTTATTTCTTCAATACTCTAGCTTAAGTGACTGCTACTGCTCCCATTGGGGGCCATGGGTAGCTGGGTGATCAAAACTGCATTTGGGGGTACTTGCAAATTGCAGACTAAAAACTTACAATGAAGTAGTGAAATGACTGCCCTGCTTCTGCTTGTTAGATTTCAGACTCATGCTCAGCCTTGGTGTGTATGGTTCCCAACCTTTCCCCAATTATTGTGCCCCCCTTCCAGAGTTCAATTTCAGTTCTGGGAGCCGGGCTCAGGCTTTGGCTTCAGCATGCATCTTAGCTTCGTGAGGTCCCTGCTTGCCTTCCCCTACTGCCAGCCCTGCACTTGCAACCCCTTGCCTAAACCCACCCTCAAGTTGAGAAATATTGGATGTACTATATAGAGCTGGATAGGTAAGTCATTCCCTGCATGACATTTTCATTTTTACTGACTTAACTAATGCTGGTTATGTAGTCTATTGTGAAACTAAGCAGCCATCTAGATGAGTTGATATACCTGCCAGAAGACCTTGTACCACATATAGCATGATATAGTATGAAATCTTACAGTGGATATAGCCAACTTGCATTTAAAAATAAGATATACCACTTAATGCATAACAGGCTCAAATTCTAACAACTAAATAACTACATTACATTTGAGAAATTCCACCTTATAGTATCAGAACATTCAAAATTAAGAGTTTTCGCTTCTACAATACGCTGAGAAGGAGGAAAGGTGATGGTTCTGAGTCAAAACTTCTCAAGTTTCTCCTCCCCCCAAAGAAAAATGTTAAAGCCCTAATAGAAACCTGTCAGCTTTCTGTCCAAAGCCCACTTGATGAAAAGCTATTGTCTGTCCTTTAATCAAATGGGCTTTGTGGCCTCCTTTCTGTAAGAAGGCAAAAAAGGTCTGACAGAATATTTTTTAACTAAGCCTGCTTGTTTTGCTACTTGAGACACGCAGACCAAGTCTGTCCTGGAGGACACAGTGGTGCTAGGTGAACTACTAAAATATTACAAGAGACTAAAAGTGGGGAGACTGACTATTTAAAACGTAGAATTTGTGTTTGTTTTTCCTACTACCTTTTTTAACTCCTGTGTCTGTTCAGCACTTAGGACAAAGGCTGCCTTTGTCAAAGATTCACTCCCCTCCCCCTTCAATTAATGTGTAGGAGTTCACAATAAGCACCTGAGGCAAACCCCTACTCCCTGCCTCTCTGTGCCAAGATTAGGAAAGTTAGATTCAACATTCCTAAGCTTTTCAAAAGGTGAAGACAAACAGAAAGGAGCTTGGCTTTTTTCAGACCTTCTTCCCATATTAAAGGTGGCAAAAGAAACAAACCATATGTGCACCCTCCCCCCAAAACCAAACACAAGAGAGATCATCTTTAAAAGACTTCAATATTGTTGTGGCATTTAAATACTGATTAGAAGAACACAGAAATAGTGCAAAGAATGCCTCTGAATATTAGTGCGCATCCTTCAAACACATTATCATGGAATGACAAAGATTCAAAAATCTGTCACTGGCTTTGTCCCTCAAGAGTCTTTGCAGGTAAGGATGATATATTAGATGGCAGACTAGATATAACAGATCATGGTTATATTACTACTAAGAACTGTGCATCTATGGATAAGTGATATGAGACCACTGAAGTTTCAAAGCACTATACGCCATTTCTGATTAGTGTAATGTGCATTCACAGGAAGTGTACAGAATGAAAATATATGACAAAGTGACCAGTGCCGTCATTGGTTTTGGACATTAAAACTGTCTATTTTGAAAAAGCCATGAGCCCATATTAACAACTAGAGTGATCAAGAAAACATAAGTAATCTTAAATTAGTGTGCAAAAAGAAACATCTGATCCCACAATATGCTTTCAGTTTATTTAAATATTAACATCAGTTAGAAGGAAAAGAAGTTGCTACTAAGCAATCTGATTGGGGGGGGCAGAGGAAGGGAGGAGAATTGTGGTAGAGTTGTAACACCTTCTGAAAACAAGAGCACGTAAAAGAAAAATCAGACCCATAACTAGGCCACATTAAAGTGTGCTGCAATGCATTAGACAATAAATGTGAAGTATAACTAGGTTTTATAAAGCTAATTTTCAATAAAAAAAGCACGCAGCTTCCTTTCTGTGGTGCTTACAGAGTGTGTGCGCCTGTGCAGGGTTTCCATTGTACTTTTTCCCTTTAATTTCTATAGCTAGTCGTCAAGTGCACGTTCATGTCAAGCCCTACCTTCTACTTTAGTTACTAGCTTTCAAACAAACAAAAACAACGGACTATCTTTTTGGGGTCAGTGTCTTCCTTCTACCAGAAGATTTTGTTAACGTGTCAACATTGTAGGACGCCGAAGGGGGGCCTGAGTGCGGGGGTAACACGTTACTCACCTCAGGAGTCACGGTGACTCCAAAGTTAGGGTGCTTAAAGGATCCTAGCTTAGAACTGGAACTGGTATAGACTGCGTATGTTACTCCTTGCGAAAGGCACCGCCTTGGCACCAGGCACCGTCTACACACACTCGCGCATCGACTATGAAACCAGGTTCAAGAATAAGCCTTTAAGGACGGTCCCCGTTCGCGTTACTCACCTCAGGAGTCACGGTGACTCCAAAGTTAGGGTGCTTAAAGGATCCTAGCTTAGAACTGGAACTGGTATAGACTGCGTATGTTACTCCTTGCGAAAGGCACCGCCTTGGCACCAGGCACCGTCTACACACACTCGCGCATCGACTATGAAACCAGGTTCAAGAATAAGCCTTTAAGGACGGTCCCCGTTCGCAAAGCCCGGTCCGCAGTTAACCTTTGCGCCAGGGCGGCGGGACGCGGGGG